AATTTTCTGTCATTACTGAGGCTGAGAAAAATAGGTGGGCCATGGGATGCTTCCGTGAAGACTTGGAGAGAGATATACGGTTCTATCGTAGTGGAATAGAAAGGAACGAAGATACCAGAAAATATCGTGAATTTTAACAGATCAGGAGAGGATGGTCGGTGAAGAGTTATCACGTCGTAGTATACTAAAGAGCGGTTTAAGTACTGTATGGCTCGATGATCTGATGAAAGAATGGGAAGAAATCTATACTCAATTCATACAAATTTTCAATCCAAATGAAAAAGGAATCGAGATAACAACGAAAGCATAAAACCAAATATAGTATCTAAATCGTGGGCTGATTCAATATATGTAATAAATTATTTTTCGTGTAATTATAATCACATGGGATTGCTCCCTTGAGGCAATATCATATGCATATACATAACAATTTATCAAACCCGATATAAATAAAAGAATTCTTTATTAATTGTGCTTTAGAATTTATTACATAGAATGTGACCCGAGGTCACAACGTCATGTAACAGTGGCGCAGTAAAGCTACTCTATAACATCGACCTCATTCTTAATACTGAATAAATCCTCCTCGCCCTTCTACTCTGCATTTCTTGAGATTCCAAAAAAGTATTTTATTGAATTCCCAACGCAAATATACTAGTAATGGCCAAAATACTAGCAGTAATAAGCCAAATTGAATTTAAAGAATCTCCTAAAACCAGGATACTATAAAGTTGGGCCGTGCAATAATTTTACTTGTGGTTTCTAACATGATATTTGCACATAAAAGTTGTCCAACTTGTGATGGCCAAACTAGATTTGTTTGAAGAGATAATATGGTTGGGCCTACTATACTGTTCAAGGAACGGACGCAAGCACCTATTGATTAAGATTAGGGATTAGGACTCAATTTTTTATGGAAAGAAAACTAAATAGTTCTTACCAATAATAAATACCAATCCGGTTTCTGCCAGCCCATAAATGAAAAGAGAAATTGCGCAAATTTCTAGAATATATATTTTATATCTTTATCTTTACCTATATTTTATTTTATCCTATATTAATAAAGCTGACCCTGGTGGTCTATTACTATTACATACATATATTCGAAAAAATAATCCAATTAATTCCTATACATATTGAGAATGCCCAAATCAAGGTTATTCGCTTTGAGATATCTACATACCTCTTCATAATTAAATACCTCCTTCACATCTTGTGTCTTCTTATTTATGATAATTATATGTTCTCCTTCCATAACGTGCATATATTTATTCCGGTTTTGCATATACTGTGTAGGATTCGTGGTAAATTTACCTTGAGTTTTACGTCTGTTATTTCTAGATCTTTTGGTTTATTTCAAATTTTTCTTCTTTTAATTGATAAAGTGTAGACTTTTGGAGTTGGAATTACACATAATTCAAGAGTATCGGTCAAATTATCATCAGCATCATCAATTATTATTGTACTGTTACTAGTGGCCATTTGTTAAGAAGGATTTCAAAATTAAAGTTCGTTTATGTCTCTTTTCACTACCATATATATTAGTTAATATATTCGTGTGAATAATATATCTTTTTTTTTAAGGTATTCATGTAAATAATCACGAATATTGCATGATTTTGTATCATATACATTCTAGAAAAATTTTTATTTATTTAAAAATAAGACAATCATCTATCTCTAAAATAACAATCTTGTCGCATATTGCACATTAATGTCACACCAAATTGATTTTATTTTTTTTTATTGTATTAATCAACGTGGGATGATTAAAAAACCAACGTTCTTTGTGGATGGATTTTTTTTCCTAAAAATATCAAAGTAAAAAAGATCGAAAAAGAATGTTGATTACTTGATAAGTGGATCATGCAACTTATTAAATAAAAATGATTTGACAAGTAGAATCACTAATAAATCAAATGAATTACTTGAACAATGGAAAATTGTTCTAAAAACAAAAAGAAAAGAAAATTTTGTTTCTTTTTATAAATCAATAAATGAAATGGGATATTTCTCAGATGAAGCACAAGAAAATGATAAATTAATTAATAAATTAACAAATGAATTTAATAAAAGTTGTTTGACTGACAAAATCGCTAGATTATCAAATGGATTATGATTTTGAAAAAAGTGGCGATTCATTTCAAAAAACAAATACTTACTTTTATCTTTTTTTCTCATTTTAAAACATGTAAATAATCCTCGACATCTGCATTTGCCGTGTGCACCGAAATCTTACCTATTCTTATGAGTTGATGACAAATATTGGGAACCCCAGCTTGTTTTCTTGCCCTTTAAGAAAGAATAATGGAATAAGTTGATGCCAAAGAATTTGAAATGTATAATTATTTCATACCAAGATAAGTTTGTCTCCACGTTGTTGGACCAATTACTGATTGCTTCACCTTTCTGAAAAATAAATAATGTATTCATATTCATATAATTTATCGCTCCATTTGTGACTAGATTTGCGATTATAGTTCCTTGTGTCTGCCCTGTGACACCATTACGACAATTTGGTACCATTGTATCATTGAATCCCGCGTTATTCCAGATAAATATGAGTGCTGGCATTTCGTAGTTTTCTTTATCTTTTAGATATTTTAAAATGAGATTGACAACGTCTGGATTCGTAGCAATATCTTCAGGAACTAATAAGAAAATATATATCGATTAATAATTCATAAACGTCAACGTCAGAGAAATAATTTAATTGCTACTACTACCTTTTCTATTGAAACTTTTTTCAAGTTCTTGAAGTTTTTTTTCTTGAACTATATATTATCAATATAATATTATCAATATACGGATATAAAAAAAGGTCATAAAACTTTGTTGAGAAAAAAAACAGACGAATACCTTTATTACGAATAAATTTTAACATTATAGAATCTGGTGAGAAAAAAAAAATATTAAAAATATTGTATATTAATATTGATATCGTGTATCATGGAAGGTCATAGAAATTATGATAAATCAATGATCAAACAAGTAGTTTATTTTATTATCATTCGTAACATTAATTTATTTCGTGACAATTAATTCGCGTTCATTTCAATATTAATTTAATTATTTACTATATATTATTATTTATATTATCAATCTATGTAATCATTACATAAAGGACATTTCGCTAGGTTAATAAAGAATAACGTATAACTTGTATTTTTACAATAATTAAAATACTTGTGTCTAAGGACATTCCTGACCGATTGGGATTAAAAATCGATAAAAGTGTGAAGCACGGTAGCCACTGTTCTGACAAAATCTATTTGGAATGGTTTATAATGTGCCATTAAACCTAGCTCCATGTTGTGTATTTTATTTAGACTTTGTAGTTATTGAATACCCAAAGTCTATATTGATATTAAGTAATTCATTCCTCTATCATCCATCACAAATATCAAAATGAAACATCCTGCGAGACATATTCATTTTTTTTCCTAGCAAAGTGATCGGCACACGTGATTTTAATTTAATTGTAATTTAGCTTTTCTGCAATTAATATATTATTTTATTATAACAAATACGATATGGATCAAATTTTTGATTTTAAAGCAATGAAAGATGCCAGAATTAATTTTTCAGTGAAGTACCTTGATTCGGATGATGATATACCCAGAGATTACGAAAAAACAAGCGAATTTCGTTATATAAAAAAATTAGTAAAAAAACTTAATAATAGTAAATTTCTAGATTACTTTGATAAATGTCAGGAATGTGGTAAATTGTTTCATGAGCCATGGGGAGGTGGTTATTGTATAAAACATATAGTAAATAAGTATGGATGTTGTAGAAATCATTGTTGCATTGATGAAGGATCTGGACATTGCATATTACATTGCGTAAAAAAATTCAATGGATCTAAGAAATCCTTTTTTGCGTAATCTGCAATGGCGTGGAGTTTTATCTGGATGAGGTAATTCAATATTTTTTAAACGTTCGATTATTTCATTCAGAGGTTTATTATTGCCAATTCAGAAATATACATATTTTATAGCGGAGTTAGTGCCAGGTGTGGAACACCATTTCACAAGAAATAGGAACATATGAGTCGGGGACTCTGGACTTTGTCCATTCTCTAATGACAGGCCATTAACAAATTTTACTTTAAGATTTTCATTATCTAGATCCACGTCCAAGTCTTGCTCTAAATAGATAAGCAATGTCTGGAGATCATCAAGTTCTTCTGGGATCTTGTTAAGTACCATACCATATTAATCAAAATTACTATTGATATATTATACACTATATCTCTAGCAGAAAAAAATAACTAATGATTATTTATCTATTTCCATTATATCTACTATCACCCGCAATCCATGATGAGTAATCAAGAAAAAATTTGCCGATATCAGTAAGTTCTGATATAATAGCTTTATAGATCTTTTTGATTCAAGTTGGATTGCATCACATTTCTGCTAACATCGAATCTATTTCTGTGATTTGGGCATCGAAAGGATTATAATTCTTAGGCTGAGATTTAGGTTCGGGTTCAGTATTAGTATCAAGATTGGTATCGGAATCAGAAGAAGTGTCACCCTCAGCATAATAAGTTCCAGAATCAAAACGGTCGATCTTATGTCTC